TATATATATATATATAAATATATATATATATATATGATATTTTTAGAGAAACACAAACAACAATCAAAATAATACTGTCATGTTTATAATTAATTTATAAATATATAAGAAAGATTTACTTACATATCACTCAATTCCTTTGCATTTACATGTCCAACATTAAAACTTCAAATTTTACCTCTATGCCAACTTTCCTATGCATGAAAAAGGTGTATTTCACATTTGGTTAAAGTTTTATTATTGTTTATGTGATATTAATGATTTAGGTGGGATAAATGTAATAAATACAGTTTTGTGCTAGATATATAAAAACAAAGGAATTGAGTGGTATGTATTTTCTAAAATAAAATGGCGTTAAAGTGGGTATCTTTAACAAGCAATGGGCAAAATGTTATATGAAGGCTGGGCAACTTTCACATTTAGGTGGTTCACTCTCTCTCTCTCTCTCTCTATATATGTATATATATACGTATATACATATAAAGATGTACATATGTACATATATACATATACAGATATATATATACATATGTACATAACTTGTATCATTTTATCTATACATGAAAAATATATATTTCACTTTTTAAAAGTCGAAATAACAATGTTTTTTATGTAATATAAAACATTTGGGTGGTACAGATGTAAATAGCAAAATTTGGGTGTTAGACATGTAGATATATAGAAATTGGGTGCTACGTATATAAATGACCCTTTTTATTTTATTATTTTTTTGCCTCAAAAAAAAAAAAAAGAAATTAATTGAAGAAATTAATTGAATATTCCATGGCGCAAATGCAGTGGTTCACAGGCCATCAGGGCCGGAGCTCTCGTCGCAGTATGAGCACTCTTCCATTCCAGCGACAGTGAAGAAGATCTTCAATCTCAAAGAATTTCTAAATAAGCGTGATGCGTGGGCGGGAACATTTGACACCATCATCAGCAGAACCTCTCCGAGAACTGATTGTCCACGTAAGCAATACGTAAATTTAAAAAAGATGATTTTAACGTCTATTAGTTTTGATGATGTGAGATAATATTATTATGTACAGTAACCCTACCGGATGTGAAGAAGATGAGGAAAACCGAAGCAGCCGAGGACTCGGAGCTCTCCGACTTCCAGCGAGAACTGGTTCAGCTCGCTGCCGTTCTCAACGGCGACCATGCGAATCCAGGCATCTTCCCCCACGCCCTCCTCCACGGCATGACTGTGGCGGAGGGCGCCAAGTACACCCAAGATGCCTTCAAGTCCTTCTTGAAAGAGGCCAAGAGATGCCGTAATTGCGGCGCCGACGACTGTTACGTCGTCGCTCTACCGCCGGTTGATGAAGACGATGAGAAGGAGGGGAAGAACAAGAAAAAGCCTTCGTGGTATACTAGGTGGTTGGCTTGCCTTGCTTGCAACCAATCTTAAGCTCCATTAGTCTGTGATTATGTTATTTAATTCATGTTAATGCATGTTAGTATTGGTTATTGGTATTGGCATTTTATTGTTGTTCTATTTTTATGCTGTCTGTAAAAAATGAGATGTATAATTTCATGCATAAATAAGATGGCATATGTAATATATGTAAAATTAAAATTCAAATGTTGTATGGGTAATTACAGAAAAATTGAGGGGCACGTATGCAAAACCTTCCTTTTTTTTTCCCCTGACATTCCCTTCTAATTCTTGAATTCTTTTTCATGTACCATCGCAGTTTTAATGGAGTAATCTACTCCAGCTGTCTAGCTTCTCTCATTTTAAGGGTTTGGTTACTCAACTTATTCTTGGATTCTAACTTGGGCTGAACGTTTTATGAGGCTTTACACGCTTACAAGTTACAACTAAGGGCCCACTGGTGGTTGAGTTATCTGAGTAGGTGTAATTGAATGTTTGTTCCTGAATTGAATGTTTATTCATGAGAATTTATTTCATGATCCTTTTTAAGCAAGTATTTTAGAAGGGTATATATATATATATATGACGCAAGCCTTGGCCTGTTGGTGGCAGGGTCACTGTAAGTTCCCTCAGGTCAAGGGTTCGATCTCATCGTGGCGCGAGGGCTCTGGAATTATAGGCACATGGCTCGGGCTCTCATCGCGGGGCCTAAATGCGCATGAGAAATCGATATTTAGCCTCTGTCAAATATCGATTTTCTTATATATATATATATATATAAATAGAGAGAAAGGGGGCAAAGTCAAAAGGTAAATGAATTAATTAAAATAAAAATTCTATTTCAGTTCTTCTAAAATAAATAAATAAATAAGATGAAACAAAAAGAAAATATGTCTAAGAATAACTTATAAGGTACAAAGATATATCTTTTAACCTCTTCTTTATAATTACACATCTTAAATTATGTCCAACTCAACTTCTTTTTCAATCTCTTCATTATGATTGCACATTTTAAATTATGTCCAACTCTACTTGCATCAAAGTCATCAATTATTGATTTTATATTGAAACTCATTACAATATCTTTTTTAAAATTGTTTTCAAACAGTTCACAAATTATTTTGTAACCTTGTCTAGATTCATAATCAATAATACACTTTTAATAATTGATATTGAAATTGAAATTGTCTAATCAAAAGATCAATAAAATATAACTGATATTTGGCATAATAAGAAATATAGGGAGATTTTGACAATTTTGGTTTTCATGAGCTTCAATTTTAAATATTCTAAATAAAATCTTAAGTGTAACTTTTTTTATTTCCATGAAGTCAACCAAATAAATTTATTTGTACGTTGACAAATATGCTCATCGTATTTGAGTGATTGGTAATTGTCTCAATAACAATAATACTTTTTAATACAAAATCTAAAAAAAATTAGGAAACATTTTACGGTACTTCTACATTTACAATCTCACAATATGTAGTCAATAACTTAATCAATTCAACAAAATTATCTTGTTCATTTTATTCTTGATTTTCATTGTCATATCTAAAAGCACAATATTAACATACAAGTCATTTTATAACATCAATAGAAACTTTTAGTTGAAGTTGATTTCCTACAAATGATGGGGAAGTTTATTTTTTAAAATCAATAATACTATATGACTTTTATGAGGATTTGTAAGAAAATTCATGAGGATAATATGTATGAGTTACTTTAAAAAAACAACAATCTAATCTTGAGAATGTGATAATCATATTTGTTTAATCAATGATATTAGAAAGAATTGGTTGATATGATTCTAGCATCCAATATGCTCTTTTATTCTATATATATAATTTTTAAATAAAGTCAAAATGGCTATAATTATTATTTATATAAGTGTATTTTATTAAATTTTATTATTAATATAATGAAATGACATATTTTGATTTAATCGTAATTAATTTTTTTTAATAAATTATTTTAAATAATTATAAAATGGTTATTAAATTTAAAATGAATAACCATCCAGTTTAAATAGGACAAAAATTTTATTGTGTTACATAATAGTAAGACATTTAACAAAAATATGAATTTGGCGTAGAAGAATATTTTAAATATAGGAACTTAAAAATCTATTTTTTTTTTTATTTTCAACTAATACGTCTCATGTTTAAGCAGTAGTGAAACACCAAAATTGAGATTTCTCTATTAGGTATTGATGCATCATCAAGAAAATTTTATCATCTAACATGAATCTAAATGCATTTTTTAGTAATAAACCTTATAGATTCAAGTTCAAGAACATATAGGGCCCCGATTTAAGCAAGTTTGTAGTCACATTGATTGTATCGATAAGTTGAACCCAGTGGCACAAAAAGGTAGTTCAATTTGGGTCTAATCAAGCCTAGATTATGCTATTATGACACATATGGATGCTTTATACTGTTAATTGAATGGCAAAAAAAATCTTCAAAGTTAACATATTTTTAGTTAAATCAAGTCTCTCATGAAGAGGAATCTAATTTGATCAAGGGGATCAATATGGAAGGTTTGATTAGGTGATTGGGGGATGTTATTAGAAAAAAAAACTCAAAATGCTCCTCTAAAAGCCTATAAATATACCCCCTTTCTTCACTTGGCATGTGAGGGCAAGATGAAGATGAATTGTATAGCTTATTCTGGAGAGGAGACCCAACAATAAAAACCAGCCTTCATGGCTGTCGACTGATGCTCGCCGAATCGCTGCTCACTTGGATTGTGCCACCATCATCGTTCTGGTCTTGTCTAGTAGTTGTCGTGGAGTTGCCAGTTTTTCTTTCGTTGTATAACCCTTTCTCTCCATAGAGTTTTCTCTTTGATCGTGTAGGTGATCTGAAGAGAGAAGAGACAAGAGGGCTAAGACATACGGTGATGCAAACAAGCAAAAGAAACATGTGAGGAAGCTTTCGTGAAGTGAACTTAACATAGATAGCTATGAAGTGCATTGGCATAAGACACCTCAAAGGCATACCCACAAAGAAGATCTGATGAAAGCATACCCACAATCAGAGATTCAAGTTATTGTACCTGTTTGGGGGATTCACTTCTTACTATAAGGGCAAGTCTCTGTAGTTAACCATAACTTAAGAAATGTAGGGACTACTTAAAGTTGTGACTCATCATCAAAAAGTTCAAATGTCATTATCAATAGTTTAGTCGAGGTTCATCATTTTGCTCTGGGTTTTGAATGTCCATCCCTGCAAAGTAAAGTTAGTAAACCATAATAACATGCAAAGTACAACTACCGTGACGTCCTCCTTTTGTCTTTAGCAACCCTAGAAAACAAAGTTAGTGAAAAAATGTGTTTTAATTTAATTAGTTGGTTGTTATTTTTATTTTAGACTACCCGATTAAGATGACCATGATTTTCTATCATCCAAGGGTTGTCAGATTCCCCAATCTACTTAGTCTGAGAGGTGGTCAAATCTACTCCGACCAGAAGATTCCTGGCAGCAACCATGGGTTGTGTCGTCCAAGAGATCTTCGTAGACCTGGGTAGCAGAGGTTTAAGTTGCGTTCAGTGATTTTTGTTCATTAGGGTTTCATTTAAGTTTTAATGACTTTTTCATATTTTAGGGTTGAAAATTTTAGGTTTTTTAAGTCTTCTTAGCCGATTAATTTTTTTGTTTTGTCATTTTGTGTATTTGTCGTTTGGAATGACCAGGTTAAGATCCCATGGTTTTGTCATCTTGGGGTTATTGGGGTTTGCAGTTTGAATCATGTTAACTCGAGTTAAGTCGGGTTAACCAGGTGATTCAGTTAAATTAAGTTAAATACGAGTTAGGTCGGGTTAACCTGATGATTCAGTTGAATTGGGTTAACCCGAATTAGGTTTGGTTGACCCAGTGATTCAGTTGAATTATGTTAACCCGAATTCGAGTTCACCCTATAGTTTATTGAATTGGGTTAACCCGAGTTAGGTCAAGTTCACCTGGTAGTTCAGTTGAATTGACTGAACCCGAGTTATGTCGGGTTGACTCTGTGATTCAATTGAATTGGGTTAACCTGAGTTAGGTCAGGATGATCTGACAATTCAGTTAAATTGGAATAACTCGACTTAAGTCGGGTTGACATGGAGATTCAATTAAATTTGGTTAATTCAAGTTAGATCGGGTTCACCCGGTGATTCAATTAAATTGGGTTAACCCAAGTTATGTCAGGTTGATCCAGTGAATCAGTTGAATTCGGTTAGCCCGAGTTAGGTCGGGTTGACATGGTGGTTTAGTGAATTGTGTTAAATTTGATTTAAGTCGGGTTGACCCGGTAATTCATTTAAATTTTGTTAACCCGAGTTATGTCAGGTTGAATTGGGCTAAACCAATTCAAGTCGGGTTGACCCAATGATTCAGTTGAATTGGTTTAACCTGAGTTAGGTCGGGTTAAAACAATGATTCACTTGAATTATTTCTAAGTTAAGTTAGACCAAGTTGAGGATAAGTTCAGCTAAGTCGGTGTTAGGTTGGATTTAGGTTTGGTTTAGGTTGGGCTTGTCCAAAACAAAGTTTGACTTAAACTAAGTCTAAGGTGGGTTAGACTTATGATGGCTGATGTTTAGGTCAAAGTTAAGTTAGATCCAAGGTTGGTTCATGCTTTTGGTCTAATGTGGGTTAGACTTAAAGGGTTGGTTGCTATTTGATTCTAATGTAGGTTAGACCCAAAGAATTTAGATTAGGTCTAATTTGAGTTAAATGTGAAGGTGGTTGGAGCTAAGGCTGAGTTGGATTGGACCTAGGGTTCATGTTTAGGTCTAATGTGTGTTAGACCTAAGGTTGTTGAAACTAGGTCTAACTTAGGTTAAACCTGGTAAGGTTCATGTTTAGATCTAATGCGGGTTAGACCTATTAGGGTTTAAATTTGAAATAAGTTTAAGCTATTGGTCGTCAACATGGGAAAGTGTGAGATTTTAATTTAAGTTTATATATACACTTTTAATTTAAGTTTATATATATATATATATATATAATTCAAATTATATGTATGAAATTTTTTTAAAATATTTTAATTAAAGTTACTAAAACGTGCTTGTTTTAAAATGTAAAATTTTAATTTTTAAAAATACGAAACCGAGCTGATCTCATATATGCAAT